GTTCTTAAGCAGATTGAACTCCTTGGGAATAGTCAAGAAAGGTGACTTCTTCCTATCAAAGTTGTTGCTATGCTCTCTATGCTAAAAGAGGCAAAGAAACTGGTGCATCAGAAAATTTAAAGCAGTACCTTAAGTTTAGCTGTAAGATTTACTTCCTGATGCTTCAGTACTTTTCCAATGTTTTTCTGTACTTGTTTTTCAATATATCAGTGTCCTTCTTTAATTGAGGAGTACAGAGATAGAGTTCATATTCTAAGAAGGATAGTCTGAATGCTGCATAAGCCAGGTTTGCATTAGGTTTTTCCAGATGCAGTATGTTACTGTGTCATCCCCAAGGTTTTAGACTTTTAATCTTCAGGATAGAGTTCCCATTTCCTGAGTGTTCTTTACACTGTTGTCCCTAGATACATAATTTTTGTTGCCTATAATAAAATATTGTTTTATCCTAAATATCAGAGGGATTACAACTTCTTGTCAGCAATCTTTACTTTCCTTCATTTACCCCTCCTCCAGTTGCTGTGTTATCTACTATATTCTTTTAGCAAAAATGTTGTTTTACTGAGGCTGCAAATAAAGACAAAAATAAGCCCTTTGGCATGTTTTTAGAAGAACACACACTCTTTGATGGTTCCTTAAATACAGTATATTAAAGCCTACATGTTAGAAGCTTTTATTCAGCTTAATATGTATAATGTTGGTGTTTGCAATTTCTTCTTTGTTAATCAGCAGGTGCATTATGAAACTAAACGACCTATAGAAGTAAAATAAGACCATCAGCACCATCCTTATCCAAGTCCAATGATAGCTTTTCCAGATCAACTTACAAGCAAGTTTGAAAGTATGTCTTTCCTATAAGCCCATGCTGATTGCCATTAATTATATTATACTCTTTTAATAGGTTATTCATCAAATCCCATACCTCTTGTTCCATAATTTGTCTGGGATCAATGTCAGGATGACAGGTCTATAATTAGATGTCCCATTTATACTTTTAAAATATTGGCATAACATTAGCTTCATTCCAACCCTTTGGAAATGCTCCAGTGCTCCAAGACTTATTGAAAATCATCACTGATGATCAAGTGATCTGCTCAGCTGACTCTTTAAAGCACTTGCAGGCAAAATTATCTGGACCCGCTGATTTAACAACATCTATCATACTGTTATTTAGCAACCTTGTTCTTTCCCATTAATATGGAAAGCCTTTTACAGTTTAAATCTCATCCAACTACAGTGTCTAGCTTTTCCACAAAACAGTAGAGTTATTCCCTCATTCCCAATGCTTTAATTCAAACTACTTCTCTGGTTTTTAGGGTTTTCCCCTTCCATCATTTTACTCCTACTTATCTTTTTTCTTCCTCTTTCTAATTTCTGATTTGTCGAAATTTCTACACATTTCAGGTATTTTTCATGTCTTTTACAGTCACAGAGATATGCTCAATTTATATACATATACTGGATATAGTCTTCTAAGCTTTGGGGAATTTGAAATTTTGGGAAATTTGAAAATAATTCTATGGGTCTGTCAGGTAAACTGTAATTATATGTGTGTTTGAAAAGCCAAATTATCTCTGTACAAGGAATACACAGGATTCCTGAAATTTAGTTTTGTTTAATCCCTCAAAACTAATAAGTAAAATGGATCAGATTCTGCTTTCTGCAAGGTGTAGTCTGATATCTTTATTAACAAATACAAAATTCAAAATTTGAAATGTGAGTATTCAGAAAGAACTTTGAGTGTTCCCATGGCAGATAACACCTTCAGACTATTGAGCCTCAATAAGCAAGAGACTATTGAGTAGAAAGACAGAAATTTTATTACCACAGTCCATTACATTAGTGAGGTCATTACCTGAATACTGACTGTGTGAAGCTCTTTAGAACGATGACAGATTGAAACAGCTTCAGAAAACACAGATAAAAGTATTCTTGTTTTGACAGTGTGCCTTAACAGAGACATGCTTTTTGGTTTATTGAAGAGAAGTTTAGGAGGTGACTTCATGAATGAAACAAACTGAAAATTGAAATGTAATTGTTTAGCGATTTAATGAGCCACTGGAACAATTTAACCAAAGTCCGTGACACATTCTGCCTTATATGTCACTCATTCCAGAGAACTGTCTTTTAGAAAGGGATAATACAGTTGGAAGTAATGAATGCATTATAAGAATGAAGTGAAATTATATGCTCTATTCTATGCAAGATAGTAGATTAGCTCATCATGCTGCTTTCTTCATGCTTTAAAATCTGTGAGTCTAGTGAAGAATTAATACATGAATTGTACCACTAGAGAAGAGTATCCAGCTCTTAACAGAGCAGTGGTAATAAAAGTTTTACTTTCTTAGAGATGAGCTTGATACTGGACCATTGCTGCCAACGAGAGTATTATTGTTGAATACAGTGAAGAAGTATCAAGCCTTCCATGAAGCCACTCACTTGGGAAAAAAAGAAAGATTACAAAAGCAGAACCTAGAGTAATGACAAAAAGAGGGATGCTGGATGGAATAAAACATAAACTGTGTCAAAGGTAAAATTAGAGAAGATTGTCAGATGTATTGTTTTCAGTTTATTAAAACTGCGTGCTGTACTTTGCCTGTGCTCTGACACTGCATATTTGTTTAGGTTTATGCTGTTCATAGTCTATACAACTTAATGAGAAATATTGCCTAAGTTGGATATTGGATGTTCATGCTGACAAGAAAATGTCACAATCAATACCAAAGAGCTGAGCTTGAAGGGTTCGCCTCCAAAGAGCATGTTAACTTCTGGAGCTTTGCCACATTTACAGTGAGCCAAGACCTTAAATTTCCACAGTGAGAGATTTAACTCTATAAACAGTCAGGCTGTTTTTCATAAAGAAGAGTGGAATTTTTTAGAATATTTTCCATTCACTTCAAACATAAAAAAATTGCTGCTACTCATGTTCATGTACTGCAGAATCTGAACACAGTTGTACCAGGCTGTGGTAGCTTTATGGTTTTAATAATAATTAGCAAAATTTTTCAGGCTGGAAAATAAATTTACGTCTATGCTTTTTCTGATGCAAAAGTAAAATGAGCCCAGAGTGCTGATTCAGTAAAACTGTGAGCAATATCCTCTCTGTCCCAGAAAAGAGTCATATCAAAGGAAAGTGATGAACTCATTGCAGTGAAGGAAGAATGTGAGAGTAATAATTTGTTCTAAAATTTTAGGACAGGATGTGTGCATTGGGTCTGGTTGAGATTAAGTTTAAGATTTTCCTCACAGCATCCCACAAAATGCTGTTCTTTGTATTGGTAGCTAGAAATGTGTTGATAACCCACCAGCATTTGGGCTACTGCTGAGCAGTGCTGATAGAGCATCAGGGCTGTCTTTCCAACATTCTCCTCTTCACCAGTAGGCTGGGCAAGAAGTTGGGAGGTGACATAGTAAGGACAGCTGACTAACTAATCAAAGTGATATTCCGTATAATATGACATTTGCCTGTAGCAGAGGGCATGGTCCACTTGGGGTCCACTTAGAAAGTTTTGTATACATTAGTTTTACCATGATAGCAGAGGCCTTGGCTACAGCCTTGAGCTTTTTCTGTGTAGTAAACTATGTGTATGTTTGTTCTATTGTGGTGTTCTTTTTTTTTTTTATGGAATTGGGATGTTGTGTTTCTCAATGTATATGTAAATATATGAAATATTTACACTAAAAAGCAAAAATGAAAATTAAAATTTTAGATTTTTAAGGAAACTTCCCAATCTGACCATTCATGAGGCTCTGTCAGTCCCACTCCCAACACCAGAGACTTTCACTGCTGGGACTGGAGCCCCTTCACAGCAGTGGCTCCAGTGACCGACGGGTCCCTGCTTGACTCCCTGCACACCCCACTCACACACAGCCAGACCAGGTTTCCTTTCTGGTTTGGCCTCAGGTTTCCCACAGCAGAGTCTCTGATGTCAAGTTCCATAAAGCCATTTATTCCTGGTGCAGTAACACAGAAACAGCTCGAGCTGGTGCCTCTGAAGAGGGGCCCCCAGCAAAGGAACCAGTGGGCTTTAATACCGTCACACTCTGTCTGCAGGCAAGCCTCACTCTTCCTTCCGACTCTTCTGCAGCCCTCTTTGTGTCCATCCACCCCGCTGGCGTCAGCAGTCCTCATCTCCTTTGTTAGCCAAAAGATCAGCAATTCCCAGCTCCTGCTGTGTCTCCCAGTATGCATTCACCTGGCTAGCATCACCTGTCTGTGTGTCCTTTATTATCCCAAAGGGTGGCAGTTCACAGCCTATTGTCTTGGACTCCCACCCAGAGCTCAACCTGCATCTCAGTCTGCACCTTGAGAGCCCAGCTACCTGGACCAGATGCATTCCTCAACAAAATGTGCACCAGATTTCTTGCAATTGAGAAAAACTAGACTGCACAGTAGCAATTCCTGGAAAGCATCACAGCTATAGCAGAAGTGTGAGTGCCACTTGCTTGGAATAAGTTAACTGAAAAATGAAATTTACTACTCGTGTGATTTTTATCATAGTAATTTTTTTTATGCCATCTTAAGTTACATTACACATCCAAATGAAAAGAAACGTGTACTGTTTACTCAAACTTCCTTTTCTAGAAAGGTAAAATACATATGAGAGGTGATTCAGAGATAAGGCTGTTATTCTTCAGGGAAATCTTAATTGTGTGATGACTCTATAATCAAGCAGAAACATTTTAGACATACAGACTGTTATGGGTTGGAACTATCAGGAACACCTAGAAGCTCAGTGACAGGTTTGTTAAAGTGTCAGGAGTAATACAGAAGGATGGCCAGAGGAAAACTTTTTGAATGAAAAGACATTTTTGACTTTTCAGACTTTGCCTTCAATAGTAGAAACAATTATATTTTAATTAATTTGAATATCTTGCAGTGAGTCCTGTGAGAAAAACAAGAAAAGAAGGTAGATCTTATAGTTTATTTTGCTTCAGTTACTAGACTTTAAATTAGCTAATACATTTTTCTTTTTTTCTTTTTTTTCTCTTGAATTCCTTAGCTCCATATGTCTCCCACGTATGCTATTATTGCAACTTTGTTGGAAGCCTTTCATAGAAATGCACAAAGAATGTGTTCCAGCCTGGTAAGCATCTATCTTATGTGAAACAATTCCTGCTGGATTTTGAAGTTTTGTCCCAAGGAACTTGGCTGCAACTCTTGACATCCTTGGGGAGGCAAGGGGAGAATTATTTGCTTTCTCATATTTAAAAATGAGTTTGTTTGTAATGCTTTTCTCAAATGTACCCTGTAATGTATCATGTTGATGTTCTTGATATTATTTTTTTTCCCATGGTTTAATTGTACTACTAATCATCTGGTTGATTTATTCAGCATATGAGTCAAGAACTAATGTAATTCATCATTCAATAGCATAGACATTGAAGTATGAAGTACATTCAACTAAGAATTTTTCAGAATTTTTTACCTATAAAAAGGCTATTAGTTTGTTTACACTTAAAAAGAGAGGATAGTTAGTAAGACAAGACAATGTTTCTGTTCTTTCAACATTATTCACTAAATTATTTTTTAATTTATTTTTAATATTCTCCCCGCAGAAGGAGTGAAAAGAATGACGTTCCAAAGTCTCCGGAACTGTATTTTGTACAGAGGAATCTCATTATTTGAGTATCAAAAGTTTCTTTTGGAAGTTTGTATTGCAGCTTGCTAACAAGTGTTGAAGGTAAAATACGTAAGATAAATGAAGGTAGAATATATAAGATAAATGAAGCAATACTTCTTAATGGTATCAGTGAAAAAGGAAGAAATATGTTCACCTGTGCTCCATATCAAGGTAATAAATCACTTAGCTTTCATAGTAGAATCTTTCACCATTTTATACAGTAACACATAAGAAATATATCTTGCACAGATTTAAAAGACAATTCTTTGAATTTCTTGCTTTCGTACTGCCCAGTTCCCTGAACTGAAGCTCCTACCATTGAAACAGATTCTGCTGGTAGGGAGAATAGCTGAGTAAATACCAGAATTCTTTAAAATAATGTCTGCTTTAGAAACAATATTTAACCGTGTTATGTATCACATGATGTTTTCCCAGATACTATTGTTCAAAGGAGCTTATTATCTATTCTGTTCATTGACAAAGGCATCACATTCAAATTTATATCAAATGCACAAACTTTCTTATCTCTCTGGAAAACGACAAGCATTACAGCGTGTGCTCATTCATTGGTAATTTCATCAATGAAGATATTTTCAGGAAGGATTTTTTTCTTCTTTTTCTCCTTGATCTGTCTAGTATCAAATAATTTTTATTTGAAATATTTTACTTTTATGAGGCATTTAAAAGCCTATGTGATGTGAAGCAATTAAAAAAATTGTCTTCTTTCAGAAGACAAATCAGAAGAGAAAATCAAATTTAATCTCTTTGTTGAGGAAGAATTGTAAAGCAAAAAGAAAAAAAAAAGTAGTTGCGATTGAGTAAACTGAGTATAAATCAGTGAAACTTACTTCCATGTCCACACCAAATTTCTGTTAGATGCAGCTATATGAAATAACTAATGCACAGATTTTTTATTTCCATGCTCTTCATTGTGATTTTTTAATTTTGACAATGACAGCTTTAAAACTAACTTTCCTCTCATCCTTTGAGTGTGATTTTCCACTCCATTTGATGCATTCATGAGAAGAACAGCATTGGAGTCTGAACATGAAATTGTCTCTGACCTTGAAGCCAGACACCTGAATAGGGTGGCAGCATCCATGAAGGTTTCACTAGGTTTATACAAGTGGCCTCCTCTCTTCATAGCCCAGAAAACTATCCATAGGTATGATTTCATACTGTCCAATATTACCCAAACATTTGTATAACAACACTATCCAGAATTTTCATTATTCAAAAAAGAGAAGGCAGAGTTCTATGTCTGGTATATTCTTTAGAGGGAAAATTTTAGGGTATTTGTAAAATTTCATAAAGTATTGTCCTTGCTGCAACTAAAACTGCAGTATAGAGGTCAGCCTTTATACTCTCTGACTCAAAAAAACCCCACAGAATTTGATACCTCAGCAAGTAATCTCCTGTTTGCTCTCAAAGTACCTAAAAAACTGGTAGTTCCAAAGTAGATACATGTTTCTGATAGAAAGTTTGTGTTTTCTTTTTCTTAAGCTAAAGTAAAAGACTCCTAAACTTTTTATTACAATCATATAGCTACTCTGGGTGACTGGAGAACTGAACAATAGCATCTCTGCTGTGAATTCCATAAGCCATTCTTCATCTATAAGTTGTTTTACAACAATATGATTTTAAATCATATTCATATTTTTTGTAGTAAGGAATGATGCATTCATATCCATATAGATTGTATTGAAATTATCTCAAAAAAGTTATTGTTTGTTAGAGACAAGAACAGGAGTATCAATTACTGAAGAAAAGCAGAAGTGTAAGTGACAGTTTTAAAAATTTCTTTAGTATTCAGATAAATATTGGCAGTGTATCTGTGCTCCTGTGAAATCTGACAGAACATTCTTCTTTTTTACAACCTTCTATCTTTAAGCAATTACTCCAAAGATGTTGAACACCCTATTATTAAAAAAGCACTTATATTAAGTGGATGATTTTCTTATATCCATTGTGATGTGTAAGACAGACTTTCATTCTTTAGTTGTAAGTGAGATATTTTAAATTATATTTCTGGTTTTGGTTTTTTGGACATTGAATTTTCCATATTTTTTGTATTGTTACAAGAAAAGTGAAAGATGTGATGTATGCTCCTGTCTAATACAATAAAAGCAATTTACATAATTTTGTCATGTTTTTATAGCTTTCTAAAGAAAAATAAGGAAATACTTTCAGAATAATAATTTTGGTTTTACTAACAGCATTTTGTACAATTTGGTGATGCTTTACTGCAAAGCTCTAATATTGAAGTATGAAAAAGCCTGTAGAAGGCCACACAAAATTCAGCAAAATGCTTTGAATTGTCTGTAACTGTTAAACTCATTGTATTGGGCTGACATGGCAAAATTTTCGTAGGACAATGTACTGAAGGAGTTGCCCCAGTGAGAGGAAGCTGAGGCTACCCCATATTGGACACAACCTGCTCCAGCCAGCTCCAAAATGGCCCCAAAGCTGGACCCAGCTGAGCCCATCAGTCAAGTGACAACATATTTAAGAAAGGGTAAAAAATCGCTCTGTAGTAGCTGTGAGAAAGGAATGAAAGTGAAGTGAGAGAAATAGCCCTGCAGACACCAAGGTTAATGAAGAAGGAGGGAGAGGAGGTGCTTGAGGCACCAGAGCAGAGATTCTCCTGAAACTCGTGGAGAAGACCATAGTGACACAGGCCGAAGGAGGACCCCAGCATCAGGTTTTCTGTCAGGAGCAGTAGCCATGTAGGGAACCAAAACCATTCCTGAACTATACACCATGGAAAGAACCTTGCTGGAGCAGTTCATGAAGAACTGCAGCTGGTGTGAAGGATCCATGTTAGAGAATTTAATGAAGGACTCTATCCCATGGGCAGGGACCCCACACTGGAATAGAAGAAGAATGTGATGAGGAAGGAGTGGCAGAGTCAAAGGATTATGAACTGACTAGAACCCCCATTACCTGCCTATCTGCACTATACCTGGAGAGGAGTTAGAAGAGTTAGGAATGAAGTTGAGTTTGAGCAGAAGAGCGGGCTTGGAGATGTTTTTAATTTTGTCTTTGTTTCTCACTATCCTCTTGTATTTTTTATTGACAATAAATTAATTTCCCCAAGTCAAGTCTGCTTTTCCTTTGACAGTAACTTGTGAGTGATCTCCCTGCCCTTATCTCAACCCATGACCTTTTTCACCTTTTTTTTTCATCTCCTGTCCTGCTGAGAAAGGGGAGTGAGAGAATGGATGGCTGAGCAATTGGCAGACAGCAAGGCCAACCCACTACACTCATTCATATTCCTTCTTTGGTTATGGAAGGCTGATTTTGATTAAAACAATTTTTTATGATTTTTGAGTAAGGCTGAAAGGGTGTCCATTTATGATCTATCTTGCTGTAAGACAGACTTATGGAGAAAGGTAATGTATGTTAGAGACAGGTGTGTGAAAATCATTTCTATATGAGTATATCTTTCCCGTTACAGCTAATATGTGGCAGGATTTTTTTTTTTTTAAAGACTGGCTGAAGAAAATTCCGTTGAATTCATATGCTAAAGTTTATACTAAACAGGTCTAACACTTGATTTTTAACTTGTGAAATTAAGCTGTTAATTTCTGATAGCACCTAAAAATACTGATGTTTGAAAGAATTTCTGTTTCAACAGTAAATAACTTGGGAGATATTGAGTGCAATTTCTCCTGCTGCCACACAAATTAACTGCCAAACCAAAAGGTTTCTGTACTCATATGAATTACCCAAGATCTGTTGCTGGTGGCAAGGTTCCAAGGGATTACAAATTGGCTTAGTTCTTCATTTTATGTATATTTTTGGGCCTGCACAGATTATTTCTGCAAAATTTTAGGACAGATTTTACAGTCACACTTGACCAACATTGGAGAAGCTGACAGCAGTGTGAGGCAAAGTGTGTACTAATCACACATACATATTCATGGTTCAGTAGACATTGCCAACCTCCGCAGGGCTGGGCCATCTTGCACAAGGTCAAATTTGTATACTAGTATTCAGTCTTCCATCCTAGCACTCAATATAAAACATCCCATGATTCAATGTAAAAATATAAAATAATGAAATGAGTCAGAGATGCCTGAGATTTGACAAGCATGACCAAATCATCTTAACAAATCTTTTTAAGACTCCCCATTTTCTATCACTACCATCAATGTCATACTGCATACCCAAAGATGTACCTTCTGTTAAGGTCAATGATGGGAATAATACTGAATTCTATTTGACTGTAACATTTGCGAGCAGGTCATGTGCTAAGGATTTCTCCATAACCCACATAGCTGTCATTGGTAGAATAGAACATTTCTCATACAAGAAAGAGAAAAATTATTTGCTCCTTCCTCTCTCTCTTTCTCTTCTCAGTAAGGCATTCCTGTTTTTTAGATTCCGTAACTTGTGAAAAACAGCCCTGAAATCCAGCTTGAGTATTCACACAGTTTGAAATAGCACTTGAATAATGGTTA